CCGCCCCCGAGCCCAATGATTGCCTTGAGTGACGGCAGAGGCAGAGCCCGAGGAAACCATCCTTGACTCATCCTCAAACCTCCCAACCGCGCCCCGTGTGGGCGTCTGGATAATGGACCCCAAATATGCCCAGGCTCGAATCCCCAGAACCTAGGAATGCTACCATATATGGTGCAAAAGGGTCTACATAGACCAGTGGTTCTCAACATGGGGGTCAAACGACCCTTTCACACAGCGGTTACCCAATTCATAACAGTAGCAAAATTACAATTATGAAGTAGCAATGTAAATAATTTTATGGTGGTGGTGGGGGTGGGGTGGGGAGGTCACCACAACACAAGGAACTGCATTCAAGAGTCATGGCATTTGGAAGGTTGAGAACCACTGACAGATGAATAAGTTAAGGATTTTAGGATGGGGAGCTTATTCTGTTTTATCCAGGTGAGCCTGGCATACCCCTAACAGCCCTTCCAGACAAGAGCTGGGAGAAGTCAGGTGGGAGGGAAAGAGGAGATGGGACAACGGACGTGGACAGGGAAGTGGTGCCCTGGAGACGGAGGAAGCCTCTTGAACCAAGAGATGCAGGCGGCTGCTGGAAGCCCGCAGCCCCGGGAATGCAACCTGGCCAGGAGCGCTGGCCTGCTGACACTTACTTATGGCCTTGTGATACACTTACGTTGTTGTCACTCTGTTTAAGCCCCAGCATAAAATTTCTATACCCTTCAAGACTCTGGGATGATAAAACCCACTCTTTAGTTCAAGAAACAAGTAAGTGGCTGTGCCAAGACTATCTGCAGAGCCTGTCTGCCAGCGAGCTTCACAACGGGGTAAGCACACGTGGAGACCAGGCTCAAAGGGCACGCGCCACTCACTGTCCTGAAGAAGAGCTCCTTCGCGGTCTGAGTTTCCTCAGGCACAGCGCAGCTGACCAAGTGACATGACATGGTGAGATTATGAGTATACACTGAGTATGCGTGCAGCAGTGTTAATGCAAAAACATGGCCAGATTATGAATAGCCACCGAACACGGAGTATGCATGCAGCAGTTAATGCCCCCCGCAAAAATAATAATAATTGGCCAGCAAGGAAGGTAGCTAGGGGCTGGTGTGTGTGTGTGTTTGTGTGTGTGTGTGTCTTCCTTCCCTGTGTTTCAAAGGCCAAATGCCAGCAAGCCAGCTTTGCATGCAGATTTTGCTTTCAGTCATTTTGGGGAAAGAATCTTTTCAGATATCGATACCTCTCATTTCTTGACAGTAACACAGAGTGAAACATGCACGGGAGAGAGAGACGTTACTGACTTCCCAGCTAAAGCAAAGGCAAGGGGTCAGGAGATGACAAGCACACTTTCCAGCCGAGGCGCTGACATCTCCCAGAAACCCATGTTCTATTTCAACACTGCATGTGGTTCTAGGAACCGCGGATGGCAAGCATTCTCACGTGCCATCAAAGCATTCTAGTCCTATTTTTAAAAATCCTTCAAATGCTCAAGAGCAGTTGCAGAACCAGGATTCCACGTGATGATTTTTAAAAAGATCACCAAGACAAAGGGCACATCCCTGGGTAAACCGTGGAAGGCAGCGAACTTGAGGGTAGGCAGAGTACGGGGGTTTTGAACTGCTGACCTTCTGGTTAGCAACCATGTGCTGAACAGTTGTGCTCCAACGGGTCCTTCCAAAGTGTATGAAACTCAGAGCAGCCCTACAAGGCAGAACAGAGCTGTCCTGTCCAGTTTTCCAGATTGCAAATCTTTACGGAAAGAGACTGCATCATCGCAGGTTCAGGCCCACAGCAACTTGGCTAGGGAGAGAGCCGGGCGGAGGGCGATCGGAAGACAGGAAAGAAAGCCTTCACTGGTCTGCATGAGGCGGTGCTGATGTGTGGTCAAAACCAATAGCTCCGCCTTGACACCCTCACCTCTTTTATGCCCTCAGTGCCCGCAGGCTCCTGGCTCAGAGGTCATTAGCAATGTTAGAGACCCACCTGGGCTCTAGCCTTCCAGCCTCAAGGCTCCCAAGGTGGCACCACTCACCGAGCTGTGGCCCATGCTGGCGGCCGCTGTCAGCGCCTGCTGTAGGGCCTGGCTCTTCTTCAGCGCGCCTGTCAGCGGGGGAGTGTCTGACCACTCGCAGGTCAGCAGGTACTGGAGAATGTCGCCGTGGCCCCTCAGTGCGCTGTGCACAAGTGCACATTGGCCTTTCTTGTCCAAGTGGTCCACCTGGGGCAGGAGCAGGGAGAGGTCACAGCTAAGCATCCGCTCCCCTCAGAGGACACCACACCGAGGGAAATATGTCCCATGCCATCGAGTCGGTGGCAGAGTTGGCCCTGCGACGTTCCAAAACGGTAGCTCTTTCTGGAAGCAGAAAGCCCATCTTTCTCCCTCAGAGCAGCTGGTGGTTTCAAACTGCCGCCCTTGCAGTTAGTAGCCCAACGTGTAACCACGAGGCCACCAGGGAACCCTTAGAGTGGCATGTGGCTCAACAATGAAGAGAACACAAGCACTGATACTTGCAACAACATGGGGGACTCTCCAAACCATGACGGTGAACCAAAAGACGCTCTCTCCCCTTGCTGTCAGCCCATCGCAGTGTCTGTTCTGCTGTGAACACCCTAACCGGAGAGACAGACATTTGGCTCCATTGTGATTGTGGTGGAGGAGAGGCGAGGCGGTGCGGTGGGCTAGGGACGGGCTGCTAACCACAGGATCGCCAAGGTGAGCTCACCAGCTGCTCCACGGGGAAAAGTCGGAAGCTTTCTGCTCCCGTGAAGAGTTACAGCCTCGAAAACCCACAGGGGCAGTTCTAGTCTGTCCTACAGGGCCGCTGCGTGCGGACGCGATGGCACGGGGCTTTGGGGCGTTGTGGTTGTGCGGCTGTGTGCCATCAAACTGGTTCCAACTCACTGCAGCCCGACCTGCCCCAGAGGTTCTCTGAGGCTGTGACCTGTCTGAGAACCCATCACCTGGCCTTTTCTCCCACGGGCGGATTGGTGGGGGAAAGAGGGAGAGAGGGGGGCGGGGTTTGAACTGCTGACCTTTGGGTTAGCAAACAAGTGCTTAACAGTTGTGCTCCAAGGGGTCCCCTTCCCACACTTATAACACTCAGAGCAGAACTGTTGTGTGAAGTTCTCTGATGGTAAATCTTTACAGAAGCAGACTGTGCCTCCTCGCAGGTTGAGCAACTCAGCCAACAGTCTAGTTGTGAAGTAAGTGGAGAAACAAGGGTTCTCCACAATCCAGGCTGTCCAGATCCCGGATCTTTTGGCTTCAGGGCGGGGCTTCTGAGGCACACCAACCTGGAATCCTGACTTTCTGGAGTCATGGAGTCTGGATAAATTCCTGAAACTATTGCCCAAAGGCCATCTTTAAACCTTAAACCAGCATTGTTCCCCCGAGTCTTCTTAAAACAGTTTAGTTTCCCTAGTAAGGGTTTTTGTGCCGTAAGCACCTCGGGTACTGGTTCAACTAACAGATGCCTCATACTTGACTTTGAATGCCACGGACATTTGCCCTCACCTTGAGGGTGACTGAGCCAACCTTATGGCACAGTCAGTTCGTCATCACAGCCACCCTTCGCTCGCTGCACTTGGAACTTCTTGCACTAACCCCTCTGCCACACAGTGCTTTCCAAGGCCCAGCAGGTGGGTTTGAACCACTGCCCTTGCGGTTAGCAGTCCAACACAAAACCCACTATGCCACCTGGGCTCCTTGCCCTAAGGTAAGGCTAAATTAGAGCCATGCGGGCACGTAATCTGACTTAACCTACAAATTCTCAAAAAGACTCATTCAGGAAACCAATCTCCTTTGTACCCTGGAAACAGCCTTATCAATTTGGGATCAAAGTGAGGGCAGCAACAATGGGAATGACTGGAGCGGAGCCTTGGGGACAGAGCGTGTGTGTTAATGAGGGGAGACTGGGGACAGCGGGTGGGAGGACTGCACAACAGCCTGAAGAACCAGGTCAATCAAGGTTCTGAAATACGTGTGCAGACCCGTGAGCCGCTGTATGTTTTTACTGGGCATTCTCGAGAAGAGTAAAGCGCTGAAGACTGTTCCTTCTTTTGAAAGAATGAGGAGGGAGGGAAAGGAGCCGCTATTGCTGAACGGGGCCAGTGCCTCCGCCCGGGGTGAGGAGAAGGTTTGGCCAACAGATGGGGGCAGGCTACACACACAGTGAGTCTCCATGCCACCCAGGGGCATGGGCATATATATATATATGGGGGAAAGAAGGAGTAACGGGTTAAAAAAAAATCAAACATTTAAAGCTTCTGCAACCAACAGGGCACTCACTTCCAGGTCATCCTTTGCAACCTTTTGAAAGGATGGCCCACCACTCCCTACTGGTGGGCAGATGTCCACCAGGTAATCTACCCCCCTCCCCCAACCCAAGGGCAACTTCAGTAGGAGCTGATGAAGAAAGCACCCAGGCCACCTCTCTGTCAGGACTGCGTGTGGAGACAGTACAGACCCACCAGCACCTGCCGCTCGCCCCTTGTCCGCACTGTGGCTTCTGCCCACCGCAGAGGACAGTCGAGACAACAGGAGGGCTGCCCAGAGGGAGACAATTCTGACAACGACCTGGGGGGCGGGGCGCTCCAGAGTTTCTGGGAAGAGTGAAGTGAAAAACCGGAGGTGGTGCTAGCTCTCGATGAGATGGTAATGTCACCCATGGTGAAGCAGAGGCCCAAATACCAACTCAGCATGGACTCAATTCTGATTCATAATGACCTGACAGGGCAGGGCAGAACTGCCTCTGTGGGTTTCCGAGGCCGGCAATCTGTACGGGATCAGAAAGCCTCATCATTTTCCCTCAGAGCATCTGGTGGATTTGAACTGCTGACCATGAGTTTATCAGCCCCACTCCTAACCGCCCATGCCACCAGGGCTCTTGTCAACAATCAGAAGGGCCTTCCAGATAGTCATGGGAAACTGGATGAGGAAATTATAGCATTTTCCCAACAGCTCTGTGAAGCCCCTTCATATTTACCATTTTTAAAACAATGAACAAAATTCTATCCATGACATGAAAAGAGGCCCCCCTGCCCAGACCCCCAGCGGGGACAGCCATGCTTACCCTAGCCCCCTTCTTAGCCAGCAGACACACCAGCTTCATGTGGCCCGCAGCTGCCGCATAGCAGAGGGCAGTCATGCCGTTCTCAGACATTCCGTCCAGGAAGGCGCCAAATTCCAGGAGCAGAGTGACGACTTCCTCGTGACCAAGGTGAGACTGGACACACAGGATGGGGGCATTGTTTAACACTTCCGTCCGGTAGTTCACATTGGCTCCTCCCAAGATCAGGAGACGGCTCACCTGTGGGCCAAGACAACCCCAGCAAGATGATCTATGTTACTCAGGTAACTGTCGGTTCCCACAGCATGTCTGGGGGAGGGGAGGGTCAGTCTTCTCAGGGGTCCACTGAGCCAGTGTGACCCAGTGTGTCACAATCACCCCAGCTTAGGATTGGGAAGACGCTGCGCACCCGGCAGCCAGTGGCAGCACCAGGTCTGGGGTGGTGCCAGAGAATGGGCATTTGTAACAAGCTCCCGGGAGCACTGATGCTGCTTTGAAAACCACCTCTGAATCCAGCGAAGAGGCTCCTGGTCATTGAGTGGGAGAAGTCTTGCCTTCAACGCAAATACACATAAGACTCTTTAACGTTACCAGGAAGCCCCCCCTAAGCAGCCGCAGAGCAAGAACAAGTCCACGTGCCCCCGGGCGGTCAGCAGCACACCCTTCTCCAGGAGCATCTGCTGTTCCATGAGTGACCATCTCCACCACCCACGGGTGTCCGTCATCAAGGCGAGAGCTGTCGTTGTTTGTAACACTACAGACTTGAAAATAAAGGCCCGGGACCACGTCTACCAGGTTTTAGCTCTCATGACCACCCAGAGGGATGGCGAAGAGGAGGGAGGCCCTCTCAGGAAGGCCGCGCGCAGAGGCCGCTCTGAGGCCTCGAACACAAGGACCCTGGTGCAGACGGTGCAGGGCCGGTCGTGTTTCCTTCCGTTGTGCAGGGCTCCTGGAGGGCAGAACTGATGCCGTGGCACCTCACAACGTAACACCGCCACCCATCTTCCATCTTCAGCTTATTTAAAGTCAATTTTAAAATGACAGCCCTCCCCCCCAAAACAAACCAACCCTCCTCTAACACTACCAAGTGTCTGCTGCGCTTCTTTCAACTGTTTTCTTAACTGGTCCCAAACAGCTGTCCATCCCCCACAGCGGAGAGGTGACGACACCATGGCTGCCCAGAGGCTCGAGCCCCATGCGACCCAGCTCTCCCTGCACTGTGCCCGGCCCACCTGGCTCCACGGCCTCCACCCTGACCTGGACCGCCCTTCTCCCAGAGAAAAGCAGCCCCTCCCACAAGCCTGCCTCCACCCAGCCCCGAAGACCAACCTTCTCTCTCCATTTCCAAGCTAAGCCTTTGTCTGCCTTAACTTCTCAGGCAGAGAAGAGCCCCTCCGGGGACGGGGATGCCCAGATGTCAACTCCCACTGACAGTTCAAAACAGGCAGGTCTGGTTGGGGCCGGGCATTAAAATAACAAAAAAACAAAAAACAGGCAGGTCTGTCCACAGTGCTGAGGACCTCCCCGCCTGCCGACAAGCCCACCCAGTCATCTGCACCATCAGAGAGGGTCTTCATAGAACCAGACCCAGGCTGGGCCCTGTCCAGCCTCCACTGTCAGCCAGCGGGGGTGGATTAAAGGGAGAAGACACGTGGCCCAGGAAATGTGCTCCTGTCCCAGCACTGATGCTGCATGCACGGCCTCCGGCAAACCATCTAAGCCCTCCCTGGCCGGCCAGCTCTAGCCCCTACGGGGTTGGCAATGAAATCAACCAGGGAATAGGATTCCAAAGTTATTTTTTAAAACGGGACAATATATTTGGGGATGTGGAAAGCTGGTTCTCTGTTCGGAGCGCATGTGCGAACCCTGAGGCTCTATACCCAAACACACCCACCACCATGTGGTGTACACTAGACTCTGGCCAGGAGAAGGGCAGGAAGAGTTGTTGACTCCCAGGATGGCTCTCTCCCTCATGCCCCGCAATCCATTCCCTGGAGACCCAGGAGGCACTTGAGAGAGATGGGGGCGTAAGGAGGAAGGGAGAGACCAGCGCATCCACACGTCTCTTCACTAACAGACTGTGATTTTCAGAAAATTGCTCAACCCCTCTGTGCTTCAAGGTGCTTCCTAAAAAAAAAATGTCCCCTCTGGTTTTCTGCCCAACAGCTCTTCTTCAGTCACAGCGTTGGAAGGGTCACTTGGTCACCATCCTTGTTCAAGACAAGCCTAAAGCTGGAAGGCGTGTGCTTCATTAGCTGCAGCTGGTTTCTAAACATGTTTATCACCACCGATTCACACCTCCCGATCCCTGGGGAATACCTATCCTCTGCTGCTGCTGCTGTGAAGTATGTTTTCTGACTAACGAATGCCCTCCCCGTTTGTGACTCTTCTTGTCACGCATGGTCTGCACCCTGGCAGACCTGAAACCACCCGGGGAGCTGGCAAGGTTTCCAGTGGGCACCCAGAGGACTCTGGTTGGCAGCCACGGCTGTAAACATATCAGGTGATTGAAGCAGCCACAGCACATGGGCTTGCTCAGGGGCAGCGCACCCCAGCGGTGGGATCTGCGGTCAGCGACAAGTGCCCTAAGCCTCAGCACCCTCACCTGAGCTGACCGGGGAGTGAAGCCCGCTGTGCCACATAAACGGTGTTGCTTTGAAAAGACCACCATGAAAGTGTACACACACACACACCCCACCCCGCGTTCGGCCCAGGGCCAGTCGACAGGAGGAGGGACAAGAGCACAGACCTTGGGCCCTGCAAGGCACAGATGGCCGGCTCTGCCCATGGTGCCGGGTGACCCTGCTCCACATCCCCACGCAACCTGCCTGGTGCTGGTCACCAGCACCGACCTCGGACGTGGGGCGGGGGGTGAGGGGGTGTGGATTACCCAGGGCCTCAAGGCAGGCAGCTGGTCCCCACAACCACCTGTGCACCTGGGACACCCCCGGAGGCTCCCGAGGGAGGCAGCAGCACCACCTCAGCCACAGAGGAGGCCCAACACCAGTGAAAGCCACTCATCCTGAGCATGTGGCAAAGGCCAGACCTTTCCCCAGCCACCTTAACGCCCAGCTCAGCTTCCAACGACATGTGGCCTCTCCTCCTTACTCTCCAGTGTACGGCGGGCAGCGAGGCGCTCTGGCCACGGAGCTAAAGAAGCCACAGAGCAGTCCTGCACAACAGGCAGCAGCTCTGCCTCAGACAGACAGCAGGGAGTTAAAGGAAGATGTTTTTCCCCACACGGACATTTTCCGATCACCACCCCAGAAGTCTTTCTTTGACAGCCCTTGAAAGTGGCAGTACTATCCCCACACTGCTGGATTTGATGACCGCCCAGAGCAGGCAGGGGTGGGGCCCAGACACAGCTGCCCACTCAGAAAACAGCGACTTCTCTGTGCGTTTACGGAGGGGGGCTCATTTAACCACACTCACTGTGAAGTGTGGACCCCCCAGCGCTGGGAAGGTAGAGTGAAGTGTCAGCCAGACTTCTCATGCCCTACCCGCCTGCCTTCAGCCTGGGAGACGCAGCGCAGCACGGGCTGAATTCCCTGGGGCCTGAGCCCTGGGGAGTCCGTGGCTGGCAGCGAGTGGTCCTGGGAGATGGCATGAACAAACAACAGGCTGGACGGGTGCCCGGGGGCCCCGGGGGCCAGGACCCCAGCGGGTCAGCCAGGTGCGGGTGGCACAACCTGACCTGGTAAAAGGAGACCACGTTGTTAGAAATCACTGGCCTGCCACTAAAAGGAAGCGTCACCTACACCAAGTAATCATTCCTGAGCAAGTTAAGTCACTTTAATTTACCAACGTGGCAAACGGCAATCACTGCTCAAAATGACATCCATTCCTGTGCGACAACACTTAACACTCTCTAAAAAAAGGTCCCCTTAATTGCACGCATACTTTTCAATGACTGTAATTTGTTCAAGGCTCTGTGGAAACCTTTTCTTCTCCAAAGACAGAGGAAGCGGAAGGGTAATGGAAAGAAAGCCTTAAAACTCTACAGCCAAGTGGCTGAAATCGGGGGAGTGGGGCGGATGTCGGGGACACCACAGCATCAGAAAAGCAACAAGAGCAACAACAGCAGCAGCGTCGAGATGAAGAATCCTGAGAAGGTTCCAAGTACGGTGCAGGGGACTTTACTTCCCAGGAGGGCTGAACTCCTTACAGGACCACACGCTACCTTTTAACTTACGGTCCGAAAAAGCCCGTCTTCAATAGCAGGGAGACGCGTTCCATGGACGTTTCTCCACATCCCGAGAAAAGGGTAACTTCTGTGCCCAACATTCATTTAAGTCGTAGAAACAGACGTCGCCACGTTTCTCTCACTCCGTTCTCGCTTCTCGCCGTCACAGGTTTTTATTAAGCACGGACGGAGAAGCCCAGAGGCAGACTTGGGCTGAAACAAAGCTAAAGCGACGTGACTTCAGCAGCCTCAGGGCGACTTTCCAGAAAATCTGAGTGAAATGAAACTCGTAACTTCTTGGACTAACGTCCAAATGTAGATGGTTTCTGCCTTTCTATTAGAGGGGCTTCCGCCGGACGGTAAGAGTGCCCTGGATCAGTGCAGGACTTTGAAACGAATTCTACCAAGTACAAAAAGATAAAAACCTACCACCACTCCCAAAAAGGGGGGTGCCTTCGGGTACCCTGATCTGTAAACAATTTATAAAATAAAAAGGTTCACATATAAAACTCAAAAAACAAGCACCTAACTTAAAGATAAACAAACACATACATATATTTTAAAAACCAAAGTGAAATCTACTGTTATTACACCCGTTCCACTTCACGACGACCCCATCACAGCGCAGCGCTGTCCCCACGGGCCTCCTGGAGGCCGTCCTGCCACATCTGTCTCCTGTGCAGAGGCCGGTGCCCTTGAACCAGAGTTTTTGCTTAGTATTTGAGTGCTTACCCACGACACCACTAGGACTCCTAATATTTGTATTCAAACACACACACACACACACACACAGCGTGTAGGATTCATCAGACACTGCAACACTCACAAAGACAAGCCTGGCGCGTGAGATCACCCAAGTCAGTGAACACTTAGGGAGCGCAGAGGTGTCACGTGTGTAATTACAGTCTGTGCTGTGCCCAGGTGTCGGCCCTCGGAACCCTCGGCCTCTAAACCGGGCGTCCTCAGACTACGGCCCGCGCGTGGGCCACATGCGGGCCGCCGAGGACATTTATCCGGCCCGCCGGGTGTTTTTGCCCTGCTTCTTTTTTTACTTCAAAATAAGATATGTGCAGTGTGCATAAGAATTTGTTCATAGTTTTTTTAAACTACAGTCCGGCCCTCCAACCGGTCTGAGGGACAGTGACCTGGCCCCGTTTAAAAACTTTTGAGGACCCCGGCTCTAAAGCCTCAATCCCACACAGGGGCCACGCCAACCTGGAGGAGGGGGTCCCCTTACCCTTGCCAGACCCCGTCTGCTCCACCGGGCCGTCGTCTTCTCCGGCTGTCAACAAAGGCCCTGCACTAGGCGGCATGGACTCAGCCGGGCTTCCCGCGACCCAGTCTCTCAGGTTGCTCCTTTCCTAGCCCTGGGCCTCTACACCCAGAAGGCCAGAGGCCACCGAGAAGCAGGCAGCGCACCCGGCAAACCAGACACAGGAAGTGCTCTGCAAGGACAGACGCACAAAGGGATAGGCCCTGTAGGTCCCCAGGAAGTGCCTCCGCGGGTTACATCTCTTAGCGGGTGTCCACTCTCTACTGCCAGTGGACAAACGCAAGGCTAAGTGGAAGGCAGGTGCCCAGCACCCCTGTTCTTGACTGGCTGGCTTTTTTCCACCGGCCAGCCAAGCTCGGATGCCAAGCTCTGTGGCTTTTCCTGGAGGCCTGGCTTCTCTAAGCTTTAGAGGCTTGGCTTGCATTAAACGGGGAAGGACAATCGACCCTCAAAAGCTCAGCACAATACTGCGACATGCTCGTCACGGCCCAGTTCCACGAAGCTCTTAGCTCATGGGGCAAGCTCCCAAGACTCCTTCCATAATCACAAATACACGTGTGCGTGCTCGAAAGCCTTTCCCAGCATCCTCTCGGTGTGCTCATCCCTTTCTGTCGCTTGTCAATGTTCTGTTTTCTATGAGCCAGTAGGGGGTACCCCAACTAAAAACAAACCCCCATGCGCATTGTCCTCGAGGCAATTCCGTCTCACAGGGATCTATCCTATAGGGCAGGTAGCTCCTGTGGGCTTCCAGAGTTGTAATTCTTTTTATGGGAGTAGAAAGCCTCATCTTTCTCCCACAGAGCAGCTGGTGGTTTTGAACTGCTGACCTGTAGTTAGCAGACCAATGTGTAACCACCGCATCACCAGGGTAAACACATTAAAAAACACTTACCAGGGAGTCGAGGCCCAATGTCCGTCTGCTACCTTAATCCTTAACATATAAACATATGTACATAGACCCATATACCTATCATGATATATTAATATATTTACATAGGTGCATGCCTGTACTGATACCTCTATAAATGTCCTTTGACTCCTACTTCCTTCCTCTATTTCTTTAAGGTGATGCTCACTTTCCCAACATGATCACTGTAAACAAAACGTGCACATAAACAAATGTGAAGAAAGCTGATGGTGTCTGGCTACTAAGAGATATAGCATCTGGGGTCTTAAAGGCTTGAAGTTAAACAAGTGGCCATCTAGCAGGGAAGCAACAAAGCCCACATGGAAGAAGCACACCAGCCTGGGTGATCACTAGGTATAGACAGGATCAGGTATCAGGCATCAGAGGACCCCAAACAATCATATCGTTGAGAGACCCAAAGCCCATCTGTAGACAACTAGGCATGCCCTCACAGAAGGACCACAAGGAAGGGACAGTCAGTCAGGGAGTAGTATCGGCATTGGTGAAACAACATTCCTACAGCTCTTTAATGCTTCCCCCACCCCTGCCCACTATCATGACCCCAGTTCTACCTTTCAAATCCGACTAGACCAGAGCATGTACACTGGGACAGATAAGAGCTCTCGACACACGGAATCCAAGACAGATAACCCCCTCAGAACAATAACAGGAGTAGCAACACCATGAGGGTAAAGGTAAGGTGGGGGGAGAAAGGGGGAACCGATCACAATGATGGACATATAACACCCCCACCCCCTCACCCCCAGTGACGAACAACAGAAACATGGGTGAAGGGAGACAGCGGATGGTGTAAGATATGAAAATAATAATAATTTATCATTTATCAAGGGTTCATGAGGGTGGGAGAGGGAGGAATAAAATAAAATGAGGAGCTGATACCAAGAGTTCAAGTAGAAAGAAACTGTTTTGAAAAGGATGATGGCAACAGGCACAAAAGTATCTGAGACACTGGATGCATGGATTGTTATACGAGTCCCCAGTAAAATGATTAAAATAAAAACTCACTTTCCCCTGGAGCTGTCTCTGACCCTTGCTTCCTCACACTGGAGCATGTGCTCCCAAAGCAGCCGCCCGACTTCCCTGCTTTCCTGTCTGACCAGAAGCTACCCTTCTAGAGGCAAACTGGCAGAAGAGAGGCTCCTGGATACCCTCTCCTCCGGGCCCGTGCCAGGGGGCAGCAGGGGGGGGGCCTCACCTTCACGTTGGGAGTGTAGAGGTTCCTGAGCGAAGCGAGGGCGGCAGACAGCCCCTCTGTGCTGTAACCGATCCACAGGGCTTGGAGGTGGCTTGAGGAGATTCCCATCTTCTTGCTGAGGCCCTGGGAACAGCCAGACACACGTGCCTCAGGTCTCCTCTCCTTCCCCAAATACATCCTCAGTTGTGAAAGCGGACATGGTCACAGGGGTGCCCCACCCCAAGGACGCCTGGACCTGTGCGCCTGGTCAGGCTCTGCCCCAGGTGACAGCCTGCCCACAGAATGGAAGGGCACATGTGGGAAGCGTGTAGTTGAGGACTTACGATAAAGAATGCATGGAGAAATCCTGTAACTCAACAACAGGGCAGACGACACAATTTAAAAACAGGCCAAAGGATTGAGTGGACAAAGAAATGCAAATGGCCAATGAGCCCAAGGCCATTACACCGTGAAAGATGTGAAAAATCAAAACCATAGTGAGACCTAGCTTCACACCCACTGGGATGGCTACTGGTGAAAAATCCGGAACTACAGGAACTGCTGAGTGTGGAGAAATGCGAATCCTCACCCACTGCTGGCGGGAATGCAGACTATGGAGAACACGCGGAGATGCTTCAAACAGGAAACACGGAATCACCCTGTGACCCAGCGACTCCTCTGCTCAGTCCGTACCCAGCAGACCGCAAGGCAGGGTCTCGGACAGACAGCCGTGCACCCGTTTGTGGCACCATTCATCGTGGCCACCACACGGTGGACACGGCCCAAGTGTCCATCAAAAGACGAATGGGTTAATAAAATAATGTATATCTGAGAGCTTTCAAAGGGTTCGTGGGGAAAAAATAGCATGAAGAGATACTGAGATTTCCTCACACTCTTTGAATTCATCATAAATGGAACTCAGCCACTACGTGGACTGAAGCCCTGATGTGCGTCCAGTGTGGAGGAACCTGAAAACACGGCAGCACAAAGCCACAGATGCGCTGCGCCCCCACGCCAGTGAAATGACCTAGAGCGAGCGGGTGCGGACAGAGCGCTCGGGGTGGTCACCTGGGGAGGAGCGGACATGTGAAGTGTGTCCTCGTGCTAAGCAGCAACAATGTGTCGCTGGTCTGCCCATGTGGAGACGGCTCCATCGTCAAAGATTGTGTGTCATGCATCACAAGAAGGAAGAAAGCAAGCAAGTGTAGCCTGCAGGGTAAAAGGAACTTGAAAGATATCCGAAGGGGACGAGTTCAGCACCACCACTGGGCTCAGATGCACAGACGGGATGGGACAGAATAAGGAACGAATTGCCAGGGCCTGACTGACGGGAGGCAGGAAGGCCGTTCCTTTCAGGGTGCGGGGATCGGAGTCCCCGAGGTTTCTGGCTTCACAGCTTTCCAAGTTTTCCGACAGACGGACGCCGACGACGATAAAGACACCAGCCCCGGGATCAGCGGCGGGCGTCTCACCTTGAAAATGTGTGCCTTCAGGATGTGGTGGCCCAGCTCCACGGTCTGCTGGCGGTTCAGCTTGCCGTCCTGCCGAGAGAACAGGAAGGCCAGCAGGGCGTGCCCGTTCCTAAGATGAGACACACAGGGCTCGTGACCAGCGGGCTCTGGACTTCTGCTCTCCCCAGAGAGCCCCCGTGGTCCCCCTGGAAACCACTGGCTACCACCCACCGGGGCCCCAGGCCTGGTCCTTCCCGGTGAGCTGCCCAGAGGCTGGTCCCACCCTCCAGCCAGGGCTGTCTTCCCAACCTCGAGCAGATGCATTCTCAGCCTCTGTGGCTTTGTGGCCTGACCACAAAGACTACGTGACAGTCACACCAAGCTGAATGCTGAGGCTGGGCCTGACCGGGTGGCAGGCAAACAGCTTTCCAGGGCTTTCAGTTAAGCACAGTTCCCCACCGACTGTGGAGAAAACCACCCCACGCCCGTAACTCCCCTACAGCCTACCCACCCCTCTTCCTTCCCTCCTGGCTTCAGGGGCCCACGTGCCGCCTTCTAAGTCTACTGGTACCCAGAAGCACGTTCATTTTCTGAAAACATAAACTCACTGCCATCAAGTCCATGCTGATGCCAACTCATAGCAACCTTCCAGGGCAGGGTTTTCTGAGACTGTAACTCGCTATAGGAGTAGCTCAATCTTTCTCCCCTGGAGTGGTTGGCGGTTTCAAACTGGGGACCTCAGCGGTCACAGCCCAACCCGTAGCCATAGGGCACCAGGGCTCCTCTTAGTTTTCTAAAGCTTGTGTATATTAACTGTCTATGACCTGGCAGGCCCACACTCTAACTGAATCACCGAGAATTAGGGTTCAGAGGCCTGCTCAAGATCAAAGGACTGATAAATAAATGACTGAGGGGAGAGAGATTTGGACTCCGGTCTGCCCCATGTGCAAACTCGAGCCTTCACCAGAGTAACACGATTCCTTTGTTCCTAATCCATTTGCTCACTCGACATCCACCTTTGGACCATCCCCACAATGGCTGGTACTGGGAATCCCACGGGTCATGAGCCCAGGAGCTTCCCTTGAAGAGCTCTCGGGGCTGGAGGAGACCAGGACCTGGAACAGTGCTAATGGTGCCAAGCACAGCCAACGGAAACAGAGAGGGCAGGTAGCCCATTCACTCAACCCTGTCTTCCATGCCCCCTCATTTCCCCTTTCTGCGCTTCCACGATGACTTCCAGGTGTTTACCCATGCTCCACATTGTCCTAGTGACGTTTCCAACCATGCCCCGGGCTCTTGCTTGCTTAAAAAGCACAGAACCTCCCCTCACGCTCAACCCCAAACCTCTCACCTCTCTCCCTCTCCACCCCAGAATGCCGAGTCTCTCCTCATTCACTCCTCGTGGGCCAGCGGGAGGCATTCCCTACGGACCTAGAACCCTCCTCCCGCAGTGACAAACAGCTTGCCTCTGAACCCTCACGTTGTCACGGCTTGACAGCATTTCTAACCCTCACCGGCTTTCCCCACTGCGTCCTCCAAGCCCCAGAAGTCCCGCTCTCTTTTCCTCTAACTCAGCGGTTCTCAACCTGTGGGTCACAACCCCTTTGGGGTCGCCCGATACACAACAGTAGTAACATTATAGTTCGGAAGTAGCGACGGAAATAATTTTATGGTTGGGGGTCACCACCACACGAGGAGCGGTATTAAAGGGTCACTAAGGACACTCACTTCCACGTCCGTCCCACCACCGTCTCCCCCCATCAATGCCTCCAACTCTCTCTAAATCTCTCACGTGCTCTAGAACCACCTGCCACCATCCAAGGGGCCTTGGTGTGGCACGGTGGGTGACCAGCCACTCTGCAGGAGAAAGATGGGAGGTCTGTTCCCATAAGGATTTCCAACGTGACAGCAGTGGGGCTGCTGGGCTTTGGTCACTGCCCGCCGAGGGACAGCTGCTGCCCGTGCAAGCTCAGACTCTGACAACGTGAAGCCAGCCCCCTGCCTCCAAAACCCACCCCACCCCACCCGGCTTCCCGACTCCCTCTAAAGGCAAAACCACCGCCCGTTTCCAGGCTCGACGTCTCGGACTCTCCCTCAAGGCCAAGCAAGTGACACCTGTCCATCTCAGTCATCAAGGCCTGTCTCTTTTCTGTCCCCACTCCCTCGACCAGGCTCTCTCCCCCACTTTGGTCCCATGTGCCCACGCTTCAGTCACATGGGCACTCCACACCCGCGACGGTTCTCCGGAGATGGCGGCTCGAAGGCCACACTCCCCAGAGAATCCTTCTGAGAGCTCCTTCAGGCTGCTCCTCTGCTCCCACGGCAAGAGGTCCCCACGAGACTTGCTGCTGCCAGGCTATGGCCTGTGCCCTCTGACCCCAGGCCACAGACAGGGCCTCCTAGCTCGCTCCCGTCTACTGAAATCCTGCCCCTCCACTCCCCATGTCCACGTTGGGGTATCAGGAGGCAGTGCACGGCTGACTCGTGCTTGTGCCCCTCATTTCGGGACCTCCAGCTCCAGTCAGGATGGTCAAAAGGAAAGGAAGGGTTTAGGTGCTTGCTGGGTCCCTGACGATGAAGGCACAGGGGTAATTCAGACCTAGAGAGAGCAGCAACTGCTGAAGCAAAGAAGCCGGCCAAGGCCCGTGAGCTGCCTCCAGGGGCAGAGCCCTCAGTCACACCAGTATTGGACATCAGCATCTCTAACAATCTCTCAACCCCTCACCATATCTACTTCCAGACCACACACGTGGAGCCGTTTATACCACCCCACGCCTGAAGTACAAATAGAAGCTCACTGTGAATGAGGCGTCTGGGTTTAGAAATCCCATCATTCCCATCTGTTACTCTGAGGAGAAACCCAAATAAAAAATGAGACAAGCCGGACCTAATGACAGAGAGCCCCGTGCACCCCTAGACGCATCTGAGCCCTGCCTGTGGGATCTACATGCTTGCTCGTGAGATGGAGGACCAGGGGCAGGTGAGGAACAGAAGCCACGAAAAACGGCTGCTCCCACAGCTGGCATCCTACGCCCCACATCTGACTCCCTTCAGAAAAGGGATTGGATGGGGGTCTGGAAGGGCATGGTGAGCCAAAGCATCATCTGGCCCTGCCGAGCTGCTCTTCCAAAGGAACTAAGAACTTCTGAAATTCTGGCAGTCCAAGAAAGCTTTTGTACACAAGTGGAGAGGATGTGCCATCGCCAACCCTTGGCCAAGAAAGGGCAATGCAGGAAAACCACGTGGCAAAGCGGCATTACTCATCTGAGCTGCCTTTTCACAGGGGA